TAAATATAAATGTTGGTGCAGCACCTACCATGAAAAATGTTGAGAAGAGACAGATTGGGAGAAGATTTCTGTCATGTGTACAATCAACAGCGCATTATGCAGATTGTAACACTTAGAAACATCAGATGTAAGCTAACACCCGCACAAGGGTGGTGGGTAACCTGTTGCAAGGTTACTGCACTGAAGGGAAAACCGGTAGAGTTTGCGTGAAGTAGGCTGTGAAAAATTAAAGATGTATATTGTAAAACTTAGGGCAACCATTAAAAATAAGATATAACTGCCCTAGCCGGTTTGCTCAGTGGTTAGAGCATCGGCCGGCCGGCTAAAGGGTCTCTGGTTCGATTCTGGTCGAGGGCACGCACTCCGGCTGCAGCCTCGATCCCCGGACCCATTCGGGGTGCGTGCGGGAGGCAACCGATCGACGTGTCTCTCTCACATCAATCTCTCTCTCCCTCTCCTTTTCTCTCTCTCTGAAAAAACAATGGAAACAATATCCTCAGGTGAGGATTCAAAAAACAATGACGAGTGAGATATCACTAATAAGTGAATGGTGAATTGAATTACTTTAAAAAATAATTTAAAAGCAGACAAAAAAAGGGGAGAGGAATCATCAAACACCTGGAACACAAATGGAAAATTACTAGTAAGATGGTAGGTGAAGTTAAATGCAATCATATCGGTGATTACATTAAGGGTTTGGTAGGATTAATATCCAGAATGTTTTTTTTAAAAAAACACACCTGTAAACCAGTAAGAAAGACTTCACACGGAAATACCGGCAAAGGACATGAAGAGGAAATTCACAGGGGAAGACACCGAATGCCTAGCAAATATGGAAAGATGTTCAACTTCCTTAATGACCAGGGAAATTAAAATATAGATACTGAAGAAAGTTATGAGCTACCGTTTCACAGTCAGCGTGCTTCTGAGTCCATGCTCAGCGAATGTTGACAAAGATTCGAAAACAGGGCCCCGCACGCTGCTGGTGGGAGTGTGACCAGGGACCATCTCGCTGGTGAGCAGCCTGGCGGGCCTGGGGAAGGCGGAGACACCCGTCAGCCAGGGTGCCATGTCATGAAGTCTCTCCCAGGGCGACTCTCTCGAGGTGCAGGGTGAGACATGCAGGCAGATGTTCCCCAGATGTTCCCCGCAGCAGGTGTGTTTCCATTCCCCTGGAGGGCATGGAAAGTAAACCGGAGTTGACGTATTCAATGAAATACTATGGGGTGGTTAAAATGAATGGACCAGATAGGCTTGGGGCAACGTGACTTGTGTCTCAAAAACATAATGACGAAGGAAGCCAAAAAAAAAAAAGCAAATTCCAACAGGATATGGACTGAATGAATTGCATCGCTCACAGAAACTTGTAAAATACCCAAATCGGTGGGATGCAGTGTTTACTGATAGGAAAAGGGAAAGCAGCGAGACAAGTGGGATGTCCCACCTCTGGGAAGGGAGGGAAAGGGCTGGATGGCCGAGGCCTTCTCTCTATCCATTAACTTTCCATTTTTAAAGAGATCTGAGCCAACAGCACTGGGAGCCCTGCTCCTGTTGCCTTTCGTGCAGCTCCAGCCCTGGCCTCCCTGGGGGTCCCCTTTAGGGGAACAAATATATTCTACTCCCCCCCAC